AAGAAATCTAGAGAATTGTTCAGCTATAGCACTACACTACATGCAATCACACACAGCCATACAATAGCATCTGTCTGTCTGCCTGTCTGTTTTCGACATAGAACTTTGCACAAATGTGCGGCAGTTCAAGTCGCCACATACAATAGCATGGGGTAAGATGATAGTTTTAAAATCTAATGTCACAGGGTATAGGGAGAGATTGATAACGAAAGCTTTGTTTATCGAATCAACTGCAAATACGTTTAATAGGAGTGATTCAGCACCTGTCCAATCAGTTGTCTGGAAAATTCTACTACCCCAACGACGACAAATAGGAGAGGGCAAAGAAAACTATAAAACTCAAGTTTCGAAGTTGTGTGATTATAATTGGAGATATGATTATGAACAATAAATTTTGTTCGAAACGTCATCCGGTAAATAATACTGTTTCATCACTGTGTGATATATCTAATAAACAAACTAATATGGAATTACTTACTACCACAGTTTCCAAGTTTTACACATATATTAAAACTCAAATGCTTTGCTTATTTTCCCACAAATCAGCAAACAGTTTTTATTAAAACCCTCCAGTACGAAGTGAGTACAGTATAGGCATTCGGAAACTGTGGCGCATATAATTCTTCCAAACAGGTGTATGTGATTGGTGGCCATTTTTGGTCATTTTTGAAAGGCGTTACAAAATCATGCTTGGTGTCAAAGTTCTATGTTGTGAATCAGTAGGATAGAAGTACTCATATTGTTTTGATAGAGAAAGAAAGACCAGATTTGGAGTATAAAATGATATCATTCTATTTCACGGGTTTTCATCAGCTGCAAACTACCTGAAAATACCATGGTTATAAATAATAGCATTTCATACTTCATTGTTTGAAAGGTAATAGAGAAACGATTATAAAGTGAACGCATCATCAATTTATATACTGCCAAACTATGAAAAAAGAAAAAGAGGAGGGGGTGAGAGAAGACAGAAAACAGAAAAACTCTAGTAAACAGTGTCAACATGGCAACTCAAGAACGTCAAAGTTCATCAATTTGAAAACTTGCTTAGTGAGTTGAGCTCACTAGTGTGTATAACTAATCAGTGTAATAAAAGTGGTATGGTTACCAAGGGAGTGAGAGATTGACCAGACTCTCTTTCTGTATGCATAAGTTTGGTCTGTGACGTTTGATTGCAATTGCTTCAGCAAATCGTAACAGACTCGCTGTCCTTTGTATGTTCAATATTTTGAAGGATTTGGAAGTCTCAACAGAATGACCCGTATCCACAAGGTGTCTGGTAATCGCACTTTGTAAATATCTGCTTCCCTTTAGGCATAAGTTTCTTGGAATATGCTGTGTCGTTATTGTGTTTAGAAATACCACACCCTGCATCACTGCATATTTTGTATAAGATTCTAAGCTGTTTCACTTGAATATATATTTAATACAGGGCATTCAAAAGAATGTTAGAGTAACAAAGCATATTTAAGTAAGCTGTCGTGCATTTGCATACTTTGGTAAAATGTTGGTTATCTTCTTTATTGAAGATATAATTGAACACATACTCATCCCACCGGTCACTCAATATGTAAGGAGAATCCGTTCATAGTCATCTACAAAGTCAAAAGAAGCCTTCCGAAAACGGTAAGCTTCTACATACTATGCATTATCGAGGAGGTCTTAGCGATCTGGATAGAAAACCCAGATTTATGTATACAGAAGAAACTTTCCCACTCCCTCTTTCTACCTTGGGTATTATTCCCAGCTCTACTACTTTTCGTAATCTCTGCCTACGCCCCCACTGACTGCAGTTCAGATGAAACGAAGGATGAGTTCTACCAAAAGCTGTCTAGTTTGGTGCGAAAGGCTAAACGCTCAGACATAGTCGTTCTAGCTGGTGACTTTAACGCTCAAGTAGGGAAATTGTGTCAATCTGAGAAGGATGTCGGTGGCACCTATGGAGCTCCGTGCCAGCGAACCGACAACGGTGACCGTCTCCTACAGTTCTGCTCTGATAATCATTTGTTTCTTGTAACTTTAAACACAAGGAGAGACACTGTTTGACTTGGAGACCCCCTTCATCAAACCAACGCTGGACACAAATAGACCACATAGCAATAAGCTATCGTTGGCGTGGGTCGGTAGGAGATTGTCGCTCCTTCTGGAACACGTGCGTAGATACCGACCATGCACTGGTCCGCGCTCGGGTGTGCTTACGACTGAACGGACGTAGGAAACAGCTGGCGGTAAAACCATCACGTCCCCAGCTCGATCAGGAAACTAAATCCGTATTTGAGGAAGAACTAGCTAAACACATATCTGTGTTCGACAGCTGTGCTCACCCTGAAGAAGCTTGGAAAAATATCCAGGCAGCCATAGATACAGCTGTAAAAGCTGTGAATAAGGTAAACCCAAAGGTGAGTAAAAACCACTGGATCTCCACCGCCTCATCCGAACTGATAGATGCTAGAAGACTTATTCCGGCGAGCTCCGAATTCAATGAGGAGCGAAAGCTGCACAAGAGGAAACTTACGAAAAGTCTCCGCAAGGACCGTGAACAGTGGTGGGCGACAAAAGCCAAAGAGATGGAGAAAGCTTCGAGGATAGGCAACACCAGGCAACTCTTTGGACTCATCAGGGAAACGGGTGGGAGAAGACAAATCATTAGTGAGACAATCTCGGAAAAAAATGGCACTATAATTAGCTCCCAGGATAGACGACTGGATCGTTGGAAAGAGCATTATGAGGAGCAGTTTAATTTGCCCACAGCCACGCTCAACCTTCCGAGCATCCAACACCTCCCTGAATGGGATATAAACACAGGTCCTCCGTCACTAACTGAGGTTACTAAAGCTGTCACCAATCTGAAACTAGGCAAAGCAGCGGGACCTGATGGAATGACTCCAGAGGTATTTAAGTACGGTGGAGACAGCTTACTGTCCGGATTAACTGAGGTACTAGGCAGCGTCTGGGAATCAGAAGAAGTCCCATCGGGTTGGTGTAAGTCACTGATTATCCCCATATACAAGAAGGGAGACAAGTCTTCCTGTGATAATCACAGAGGGATTAGCTTGACTAATATAGTATCTAAAGTCTTAGGCTCAATAATCATGCGTAGACTGAGTGGTGCTCGGGAAGCACAAACACGAGAGAGCCAGGCAGGCTTTAGACCAGGAAGAGGGTGTATTGATCATATCTTCACCCTCCGACAGATTCTAGAACATAGGCATTCCTACCGGCGTCCAACAGTCATTATATTTCTTGACCTAAAGGCAGCATTCGACTCTGTCGATCGGGAAGTTCTCTGGAGATGCTTGGCTGTAAAGGGAATTCCAAGAAAATATATTGCACTGATTAAGGCACTCTACTCGTACTCATACAGCCAGGTGAGGGCTTACGGCGAGCTGTCATCTGAACTGATGACGACCAGTGGTGTCCGTCAAGGATGCCCATTATCTCCTTTTCTATTCAACTTCATCATAGATGTGTTAATGGACTTAACCCTAGGTGACTTCAGCGACTCAGGGATTGACTTGCTACCGGGGAATAATCTCGTTGACTTGGAATATGCAGACGATATAGTCCTTCTAGGCGAAGACGCTGACGAAATGCAGAGTCTTCTAAACACCTTGAGCCGCAATCTACGAATGTTTGGCATGCGATTCGCTCCCGCCAAATGCAAGATGATGTTACAGGACTGGACTACATCGACGCCTAGTTTAAAAATAGGAAGTGAAGTGGTAGAGCACGTTGACCGCTTCACTTATTTGGGAAGTACCATCAGCCCCAACGGGCTGATCTCTGACGAAATCTCAGCACGAATACAAGGGGCTCGTTTCGCATTTGTTAGTTTACGCCGACTCTGGCGTAGACGAGATGTTCGACTATCGACCAAAGGGCGGGTGTACTGCTCATCAGTCCGCTCCGTCCTCCTTTATGGTTGTGAGACCTGGCCACTGAGAGTGGAAGACATGAAAAGACTAGCTGTCTTTGATCATAGGTGCCTGCGTTCTATTTCCCGTGTAAAGTGGCATAATAAGGTGAGCAACATGGAGGTTAGGCGTAGAGTTCTAGGTAAACAGGGGAAATCAATCGACGAAGTCGTGAAGCTACAAAGACTGAGATGGTTAGGACATGTGTTACGTATGCCAAGCCATCGCCTCCCTCGACGAGCAATGTTAGCGGATATAGGGTCAGGCTGGAAAAAAGCTAGCGGCGGTCAAACAAAAACTTGGCATCAGTCAATGAAATCCACAACAGTTGGTCTAAGCCACGTAGGAAGGTGTAGACTTCCAGGCTGGGGTCCTCGGGACGGTAAAAATCTATGGTTGGAAACAATTGGTGACATGGCTCAAAATCGTTCTCAGTGGCGCAGATGCATCCACTCCCTGTGACTTATGATCTTCAATGAAACTGTTTTGTATTTCTTTATTACTCCTTTGTCTCACACCTCTGCTCACTGTTTCTATTATGCTTTTCTTGTACTTTCTTCTCTTGCTTCGCGTGCTACACGGAATGTGGCGACTTGAACTTCCGCACATTTGTGCAAAGTTCTATGTCGAAAACAGACAGACAGACAGACTACTTTGTTAATAAGGCTTTTTTGGCTTGTTTGTATGATATCTTAGTCACATCTATTTTTAACCAACCCTTTATTTTCCCTTTCTACCTATTACATAATTTATCTTGGACACGTGTCTCCATGCTCTTTCATCATTAACATCCTATTTTTCTGCGTCTTTCATGTTGCGCAAACCTTGCCAACACTTATCAATCTCCACCCCTCCCCTGGCTACAAATTGATTACTCACCACATTTTCGAGACATTGTGATGACGCAAACAACTCCAAATAATTTTTATTTTTGTTTGACGATCCTAATGCACACACACACACAAACAAAATAATGAGACTCTTCGCTGGACTTGTTGTGTTTTTATATTCATGTTGAGTGTTATGTTTGAAATTTCGCTTATCACTACTTATTTATTTGTCCTCATGGTTTTTCTTTTGTTTTAGCTGTTGTCGTTATAGTTTAACAGATCATGTCTGGCATTCAATGAGTGAGCTTGATTGTCCTAGATCACATCATGCTTTAATCTGTATTGAAAATTATCTCTACATATTTGGAGGTTATTGTTTAAACTGGGCAACAAATTATTCACCTGCAAGTGATTCAATTTTAGTTTATGATATTTGTACAAATCAGTGGAGTAATTCACATCATAAACTACCATTTAGTTTAGTGGATACATGTGCATTGCTTTTAATGCATAAAGGTATGTCCTTTTATATAGTTTTATTGTCATTTTTGTGATGCTTAGTAGCCTTTTTGACACTTTAGGCTTGTCTCAATTTCTGGTGCAGTTATCACGCTCAGTTACAAATGAAATATCAGTTATGGTTGTTGGGCATGTGAACCCACCACCCCTCTAAGATGAGTAATGGTAGCGGAGGTAAGATTAAGTTAGGATAAAGTATTGATTATTGAGTTGGGACTTGTCTGCAATCTATGTGTTCCCAACTGTTGGTCACCTGGTGTAGGTTGCCTCGTTAAGTCTTTGGGAATCTTGATTGCATCACTGAAATCTTTCACAATTGCACATCAAGCCAACTAAGGATGTTAATAGATTGTCTAGGTATAAGTTATAGATCAAGGGTGTGGGTGGAAGATTGTCAGTCCTACTGAAACATCTGCTTGGAATCAGATCACTCATTGGTCCATGTGCATAGATGCCTTCAATTGAATGGAAGCAGAAGACAAGCAGTCGCGAAACCCATACGCGCTCAGCTTTCCGATGGGAACATGAAATCCGTATTTTCGGGAGAGATAATTTAAAGAATATTTGAGTATGGAGGTAACATTCATCTTGAGGAAGCCTAACACCAAATCCATTCCTCTGTGCAAAGGGTAGTGAGGTGTTTTGATAATCTACATCTTAATGTTGGTAAAAGTCATCCGAAATGGTCGACACAAGGAAACTAATCCCACCAGGCTGTACAAATAACGAGGAGCTAGGGTCGTTTGGACGCAAGCCGACTAGAAGTTTTCGGAATGATCTTGTACAATTAATCTGAGTGTAAAATGTAGTCATTGTGGTAGCGTAACAGCAGAAGGCAAAACACGGAAGCAAAGGTATATTTTCAAGTGATCAAACCGCTATTTATAATACATACAGTTTATATTGTTTAACCAATCATTGAGTATGTGATTTTGGTTCAAATACATGTATAGTATTCTATTGCTAGTGTAATATTGAACTGTGGGAATATGTGAGAACACTATTCTGTTGGAACACATTATCTGTATCACACCACCACAGTAGTACAAAATTGTATGTTAGCTTGTTCAGTAGATAGGTCACGTAGTAAATCATTATTACTGGATTACGTTTTGAATATAAATATGGGATTGTAAACACTGATGTGTGGATAAAAGAATCAGACTGGTCATCGGAACCAACAACGTATACCTATTGAAAAGACAGCTAAGTGAAGAACAGAACTTTAATAACTTGTCTATGAAGATAGTGGGACGTTTGGTAGATCACTTTGAAGAGCAGTTCAACTTGATTACACATGCACTTCGATTGTTCACCACTAAGTTTCAGGTTGACTGGCATTTCAAATGCTCCATCAAGTCTAAAAAGAAGTGCAGCATCAGGACTTCATGGTTTGACTGCAGAAATGTTTAAAAATCGCGGTGATAAAAATTACTGACTAGGTTAACTATGGGGTGGAATTCCGAGATAGTTGCAACGGGCTGATTACGGATCAGCGTTGATCCCAGTTTATAAAAAAAAACAAATAAATCTTCCTGTAATAATCAGCTTAACTAATATATTATCTAAGATTCTAGTTTTCATTGTTCAGCGAAGAATAATTGGTGGCCAGGGAGAACCATAAAGGCTTCAAGCGTGGGCGGCGGAGCATTGATGATACCTTCACTCTTCGAGGCATTCTAGAACATAGGGAGTTCTACTAACGTTCAGCACCTGCCAGTATTTGATCGAGAGATGTTGTGACAATGTGTTTGGCTGTAAAGGGAGTGTGAAGAAATTATAGTGCACTAGTCAAATTTGCACAGCTGTTTGACAGCTTATGGAGAGTTGTCAGCTGAAGGGATGACAACCAATGGTATCATTATCTTTATTTAGTTTAAGTGGAGATGTACTAATGGACGCATCCCTAACTGATTTTGATGCATCCGGGGTTGACCTGTTACCTAGGTTGTCTCCTTGATCTAGAGTATGCAGTTGATGAAATGCTTTTAGGTGAGAAGACTAACTAAATGCAGAGTTCTCTTTGAAAAGAATGAGCCAAAATCTTAATGTGGTTTACAGATGACTTGCGTCTTTCAAATATGAGAATATGCCTCACGACTGGTCTTCACGGACTCCTGATTCATGCAAGTTGTATTAACCCTAATGGGTTGATTGCTAACAATAGGCACTTTTGGCGTTGCTTTTCATAAAAAAATCAGCATTATAGACTAATCATTTATTCGTCAATATTGATAATAAACATAGCAAAAAAAGATGAGCATATTTAGCCAACCGCATATTTTTTTACGAGTTGATCACGGATTGATATCAGTTAGAGGACCGTTGAAAACCAGGGAGTGCTGGACAGCTGCTGTTTATCCTAGTTTGGGAATCATCGGAAGTACGCACCCACCGCCATGGTCTGAACCCAGGACCTTCCGGTTACAAGGCGAGCTGGCTCGTATACCATTCAGCCACTGGGATCCGATTCAATGGCCAGTCCATGAATTCTAACTTCTACCAATTCGTGATTTAGCGCGACCCCAACCATTGTCGTAGGTGGGACATCCATCCTCACACGTGACATCGTGACCAGTGAGGTCCATCCAGATGTCACGTGTGAGGATGGATGTCCCACCTACGACAATGGTTGGGGTCGCGCTAAATCACGAATTGGTAGAAGTTAGAATTCATGGACTGGCCATTGAATCGGATCCCAGTGGCTGAATGGTATACGAGCCAGCTCGCCTTGTAACCGGAAGGTCCTGGGTTCAGACCATGGCGGTGGGTGCGTACTTCCGATGATTCCCAAACTAGGATAAACAGCAGCTGTCCAGCACTCCCTGGTTTTCAACGGTCCTCTAACTGATATCAATCCGTGATCAACTCGTAAAAAACAAAACTAATCCTTACAAACCAAACTATAGAAATTTAATTTAATTTGAGATTTTCCCGTCGATTGATTGAACCGAAGTGCTAGGTCTCAGGATTCCACTGCTAGTCACCATCCACAAATTAAATTTTAACAAACTATAGAAAATTAAGCGTATATTCCTTATACAGCACTTATCAGGAAAAAAAGAACACCCTGAAATTGTGGTAGTTAGATTTAGAAAATTCTTAAACGTCCATACATTAGTATTTCATACGAACTAATCTCTAATCAACTTACAACAATATGCTTATGATTTATAAACTAAAGTAGGACAGGTAGATGGTTGTGTCAAAGTCACATGTTAAAACAAATCTCAGTTGTATTTTTATAATGTACTGTTTGTAATGCATATTTAATCAGAAGTTTGAATAATTTTTGGTTATTGTAGATACTGATTATTTTTATGCATTAGTTAATTAGTTTCCATGTTAATTTCAACACTTTACATAACTCAATTTTATTTCTTTTGTCACTCTACCCCATCCCAACACACACACACACAACTTATATGAACAAAATAGGTCTAGTCATGTTCGCTGGTGGTCTTAAAGAATACGGTGATGAAATGCGTCCATCTGACTGTGTTTTTCTCTTCGATCCAACCGGAGAAGATGGTGTTAATTTTAAATTTTTACCAAAATTACCTGAACCATTAATAAGTGTAGCATTAGCTTGTGATGCATCAGAGGAGCAAGTATTTTTATGCGGTGGTAGAAAGTCTGTATACGGTTCTACACTTAATGATATTTCGAATAAAGTTTACTCCTTCAAATTTACTTCTGTAAGTTATTGTTCACAGTGTATTTGTTTGCTTTGTTTAAAAATCTTTTATTTTGTTTATTTTTTCCTATAAGCGCACAATATATATATATATATATATATATATATATATATATATATATATGTGTGAATACTTTATTTTAAAAATTTATGATAAGGTACCGTCTTACCTTGTGCTGTTTAGTTGAGAAAAATAACGTAACTGCTTTATATTTGCTTATACTGGTAGTGAACAGAGTGCTTGTTAAACGACTTGTGTGGTTTTTGAACACACTTTTTTATTCAATAATATGCATCATTAGTTCATGACACTTGATCGTTAAGTGTCTGCGTTTTTTCTCCCGTGTTATAAGAAATATAATATAGTGGGCAATATTGAGGTCAGACTTAGAGTACTGGACGGGAAGTCAATCGATTAGTTTGTGAGGGTAAATCGAATGAGATGGCTAGGGTGTGTTGCGCATGCCTAGACATCGCCTTCCTTGACTGCCAATGTTAGGTGATATAGGATCATGTTGGAAAAGAGTTCGAGGTATTCAAATCAAAACCTGTCATCAGTCCATGAAATCTGTGACAGTTAGTTTGAGCCAGTCACGTTGTGAGAGGTGTAGACTACCTGGATGGGGGTCTTTAGGATATTAAGAACCAATGACTGAAGATATGGCTCAAAATCTCTCTCAATGGCGTGGGTGCTTTCATTCTTCGTGATCTCCAAAATCTATTAAGTTTTCATGTTTTTCTCTATTAATATTCTTCCTCCCTTGATTATAGCCCTTTTGAATCCATTTTTTTTCTGTCTCTTTTTTCTGCGTTTGTGTTTCATAGAGTGTGGCAACTCAAACTGTTGCACTTCTGTGCAAAGTTTTATATTGAAATTCAATTAGTCATCGTTCAATATAAGTAAGAATAGTTGTATCCCATACATTAAAATGTAGGGGTGTTGAAAAAGGCTATTCGCCTGTGATTTTAATGTTTTTAACAACAGAAGCTCTAACACTTAGATTTTTGGGAGCTACAGATAATTTTTATTGACTATAAGCCATATTGATAAGTTAGTAGCTATCGGATAGGAATAATGTAGGATGTGGTGGAGAGGTGGTTCAGGGAAATCAATCGATGAAATTGTGAAGTTACATCGACTGAGATGGTTAGGACATGTGTTACGTATGTCTAGTCATCGCCTTCCTCGACTGAGGGGCAATGGTAGCTGATATAGGGTCAGGCTGGAAAAGAGCTAGTGGCGGTCAAACCAAAACATAGCACCAGTCAATGAAATCCACAACAGTTAGTCTAAGCCAGTCACGTAGGAAGGTGTAGACTTCCTCACCGGTTGGGGTCCTCGGGACGGTAAAAACCAATGGTTGGAAACAATTGGTGACATGGCTGGCTCAAAATCGTTCTCAATGGCTGGCGAAGATGCATCCACTCCTTGTGACTTATGATTTCCAATGAAACTGTTTTCTTCTTCGTTACTACTATTCCTTTGTCTCACACCTCTGTTTACTGTCTCTATTATTCATTTCTTCTACTTTGTTCTCTTGCTTTGTGTGTTACAAGAAGGGAGTGTGGTGACTTCATGAACTCGTTCATGAAGCCGGCTCATCCTCCCGTAGGAGATAGCCGAAGTAAAGTAAGTAAAGTAAGTGTGGTGACTTGAACTTCCGCACATTTGTGCAAAGTTCTATGTCGAAAACAGACAGACAGACAGTGGTTCATTGGCTTAAACATTTGTCTTCTAACCCTTAGGACTTGAGTTCGAGCCCCACTTCAGTCACTTGAGTTTGAGCATCGAAGTAGTATCATCAGTCATCGTACACAATAAGTGCGGCTCATAATCTGGAGTATGAAAAAGCTGTTCTGGGTACTAAGTTCGAAACAAACAGTGTAGTATGTGACTTGAATCATTTGCCAATAATTAGTTCAATCGGATACACTTATTTACATACTGTCAAAATCAGTACGTCTATGGAGAACCTGATAATTTTTTAGGTTGTAATACGGTTTACTGACCGCGTCATAGAACACTCCCGACGTGTCAAAGTCTATTATCGTGCTTGACGGACTAGACGTCAGTGACAATTCGGTGCTCAAATTCGTCATTCATCGGTGAAGGGTTAATTTTGGTCATTGCACTTTGCTGATATGATTTGTCTTGATGTGGAAAACTTTGAGCTCTATGTTATGTGTACTGCTGGATTGCTCAAGGTGAAGTGTGGCGGAAATTTTCATTTAGATATTTAGAAAATAAAAAAAATATTCACCAAAAAATATTCTTTTCGATAACCTCATTTGGCTCAAGCCATATATATATGAAGAATAATTGCTATTAGCAACACTAATTTAACAAAAGATAATATCGAGCTGGAAAGAATAATACACCTACGTTTCCAAAGAATCCAGGAGTGACAATATGCATGAAAATGTAATACTTATTTGAATATCGGATTAAAGTAGGAGGAGGTTTTGTGCGACAATTATTATATATTATTATTTCTCCCTTGGGTTCCTAATGGAACATAGGGCTTCAACTGCACGTCTCCACTTGCCACTTCTGTCTATTGCTGTACTTTTCACCTGCATCCATGTTAGTCCATACTCTTTCAGCTCTTCTTCACACGATCTTCTCCATGTCACCCTTGCACTGACGTCCCACACGCCTCTTCCCTTTCGGGTTCCACTCGAGGGCTTGACGCGCGATGTTACCCAGCGGCCTCCTCAGCGAGTGTCCAATTCATCTCCACTTTCTCCTGCATATTTGCTGTTGGTGGGGGATTGGTTCTTGTTTTGTTTGTTAGTGCCCATAGTTTCTTGTTGGTGATTCTTTCCGGCCTGGCCATCTGATCTTCAGTATAGAGCGAAGACAGTTGTTAATAAAGGTCTGCAACAGGCTGTTGGAAATATTCTTTCTGACCCGCTCGCCAAGTTTCTGATCCGTATAGAAGAACTGACTGACGTGACGTTTGTATTGAAAATCCGACTGAATTTTGTTGTTGTTGCTGGCTGAGTGACGAAGATTTTCAGATTGGTTTCGGGTTGATGATGATGATGATGTGTTTCTCGCCTTCCCGATTCTCGCTCGATTTGACATCCTCGTCCGTTCCGACTGGCTGTAGTTGAGACAATGCTCCCTAGATAAGTGAATGAAGTAATCTCTTTCAAATCCCTCCCGTTGATGATGATTGACGTTGGATGTTGATGCTGTTGTTGGTTGGTTATTTTCATAACCTCCGTCTTGTCTATGTTTACCTGGAGTCCTGTCTTCGCTGGCTGATTCTTCGACCAGTTTGTCGGTTTTCGCCTGTAAGTCTTCGATTTTGTGTGACATCAAACATAAGTCATCCGCAACAATTAAGGATACATAAAACAATAATAGGGTTGTTAAAGGCTTAAACGGAAGGGGATTATTCATTATCTACCTGTTTAACTACTCCTGTAGGGCCAGTTACATTGCACGTAAATATCATCCTGCGTAGTTAAGCAAGGGAGAAACAATGTCTAATCATTGCTCTGTTTCAGTTCACCTTGTAGATATTGAATATGAAATCAGTTTTAACAAGGCCTTTGAAGTTATGTACCATATTCTGACTTGCTTTACGATTTCGACTTTTACATACTAACCCGAAGATGCCGAAATCCACCTAAATAGGCCAAATTTAATGTGTTCAAAAGAAGTACATGCAAACGGCTTCCTTACCTTGACTATCATTACTTGCCCAAGTTTTATACTTATATCAATTCCTCCTTACTTCTAAGCCTTTTTTACAGGCTTATTATGTATGCACAACTTTAGAGCCAGATGAGGAAGTTATTGAAAAAAGCATTCTTTACCCAATCTGGTTTTGTCTTCCAAGGTGAAGTAGACAGGACCGTTCAATTTTATATAGTTGACTACTTGTGTTGTTGACTATACTCCCACTTATTAAACTGCCTATATTATGATGTTTTTCATAACTGGATTCTGGCGCTTACTTTTTTGAAACACTATGATTATGTTTCTCTTATAGCTTAACTAATCGCATTAATTCATTTTTATTTTACGCTTTCTAGAATTGTTGGACACAAATTACTGTATTGGATTTTCCACGTTATAACGCCTTTTCGTGTGTATTAGAAGATAAATTATATGTGATTGGCGGAATTACAGTGGATGAAGTTATTGAGAATACTTGTAGTTCATTGATTGCCTCATTAATTGATACTGATTATGGAGATAATTCCATAACAGATGATAGACAGTTGAACAGTCATGATGAAAATGATAATATATCTATATCTACTAATTTATTAGAACAATTTTCTGTCGGTAATTATATTCGTCCAGATATCTTACAAGCTCCATTTAGACCATGTCATTTCACTGAAGGTTGGCAAATAAAATCAACTTCATCGTCATCATCTTCATCTTCGTTATCATCACCATCCTCTTTGCCAGCATCAACGAGTAACTCATATTCAACACTAAGTCAATCCCGTCCAAAACGATTAAAGCTATCATTGGCTCGATATACAAGTCGACTACCTGTAATATCAAGATGTTATGCTGTCTACTGTATAGCACCGTATTTACATACTGTGAAACAATCAGTTAATATACGAAATAGTAATTACACTTGAGTTATTTTATTGTACAGAAGATAATTTTTACTGTTGGCGTTTGTTTATCTTTGTACATTTGTATAATGTAGTGTGTCTGTGTGTGTCTTTCTTCTCAACTTGTCCTTCATAAGTGATAATCAAATAATAATCATTTCAACAAGAATTTTTTTCAATTATTCATTTGTATCCACTACCTTTTTTGTCTTTCGTCGTTTTAGAGTATTGGTTTTGTAGGGATTTTGTTTGATTGCGTGGAGGATTTAATCATGAGCTGACATCAGTTAGAGAACCACAGGAAAATCAACTGGGAGTACTGGACAGCTGTTTCGACCTAGTTTGGGACTCTTCAGCAGTACGCACCCACCGACAGAGTTCGAAGCCAGGACCTTCTGGTTACAAGGCGAGCTCGTATACCATTAAGCCACTGGGACCCGATCCAATGGTCCTTGAATTCTAACTTCTACCAGTTCACGACATAGCGCGACCACTTCGCAATGTCTTCTTCGATGAGTTACTGCCTCATCTTCAACCTGCTGTACCCTACTGGTCACGGCTTCCCACTAGGACCCCAGGTTAACTGCCTGAATAGGGCCAGTCGCTAGTGAGCATCAGATTAATCTTCAAGTACTGGTTTTGTAGGAATTTTGTTTGATTGCATGGAGGATTTAATCATGAGCTGACATTAGTTCGTCGTTTTGTTCTTTCGTTCTCAGTTTCGTTCCAGTTTCTTATTCTATTCTATTCTATTCCATTCTATTTTTGGCCTTTGCATTCATACAGTTTATACTACTTATTATTGTACTGAAATAGTTATTCTATAAATTATACGGATTAATTATCCTAAGATTGTTTTTTCTTTATTTCGTGAAAATATGGAAATAATGTTTGTGTTTGTATTTTTTTTTAAAAGTATCCCTTTTTTATGCATTGTTGTTTTATGCACATAGTTAGTTAAATAGCGGTGTGATTCGTTATCATGTGATGTGTGGTTGACAGTGTTTTTCTTTTTCTTCGTGACTGTTTATTAGGTTTTTCCTTTTTTTTTCTCTTTGTCACACTAATACTGAGTAACTGTGTGCCCATATGTGATAAAGGCATGTGAGAATATAGGAGTTTTTAGATTGTAAAGAAATGCCTATGTAATCTATGTATCTTGATGCGTTAAAGGGGAGATGTTATTGTTAACTTTGGCACATAACTAACTTACAGTCAGTGAATTCTAAAGTGGATTCCTGTCTCTCCTGTTTCAGCATAATGGACTGACTTGAATGGACATTAGGTAGTAATTAATGTCATGCGTGTTTAGTCCTTGGTGTTGGTGCAAGCTAAATGCTATCAGTCAAGTTTATGATGTGGCCATCACACTAGATGGTTCCCCGTTGTCACAGTGCACCCAGGATTGTTAGATGATTGGGAAGAATCAGCAAGAAGCCTTGGAAAATTAGCTTTCGTACTTGGTGGCACTTGTCTACACAGAAATTAAGGACTAGATGTATAACATTTGGCTAATACCTAATGTCCAATCGTAGTATCCAGCACAGTCTTACAGATGGTCAGTCGCTATCCTGAATAGTTCAGTTGTAATATCCCTGACTTCATCACTGGTGACCCGCGTTCGAATCCCAGAGGAGACATGAGTTCCTTCAGGACTGCAGATACGCCTTGCTTGACGATTACCACCAAAAAGCACGAAACCGAGGGCCAAGTCTTCCTATCGACTGCCTCTAACCGCCTAACAACAACTTTAATCCTTTGAGTTTCCAGTGGAAAATAGGGCTTCAGACTAGAGCTTTGAAGTTCCAGTAGCAGGGGTTACTGGCCTTTCACCCAACCGCCCCTCTTTAGCAGTCTTAGTACCGGCCAAACGAGGTAAAGGAGTGCTTCAGCCGGATATCGAACCCCAGACCACTTGCGTGGTTGACTAGTGCTCTACCACTGAGCCGCCAAACAACAATAATGGGCTGTGTAATATCATTAAACCTTACACAATAGGCAGGACTCATAAAGTAATGCAAGCAAAATCTGGTCAAGGTAAGCGTTTTCTAATTAATTGATGTATAGAATAGATTACAATTTAGACTTTGGTGAATATTACGAAAGTAATTACTGCAGATAGAGGTTATTTTCTGTTAGAATGGCGAAAACGGTAATAATCATTCTCTGTCCCCTACAAACTAGTTTTTCGGTTGCTCAAGTGTCTTTAATCTCGCTATGTACGGAAATCTCTAACTCCTACGTTTTGATTACTTCAGGGTGTGTATTTGTAAACTTTTTGCACATTGTATAGTCTTAGTATTTAAGCATATATGGCTGTAGACAAAAGTATTAGCAGTTTTATCAGTTTCCGGTTCTTACCTGGCTGTTACTGTACTTCTTGACCTCCGAATTTTGTCTATTTAGTGTAAACTGTACTTTACTTTTAACTCCTTTTGATGCAAATGATTCTCGTTTTTGAGATGGGGTCTCTTTTAACCCGAAACATGTAAGCTACATTGTTCAGCTTGCCGTGTTTTCAACCTGTCATTTTTTATGCTTAGAATTATTAAATTCCAGGTCATAAATGTATGCTATGTCCCTTGTACACATTGTAGGCATTCGGGCTTGTTCCTTTGTTCTGACTTACTTATGTCATACAGTTAAATGACCATACCATTGCATTTTGAATATTTGGTTCTTTTGATGACAAAGCCAAACAGAAATTGTATCACGAAACAGTATTTTTCTTCTCCACATGTCTTTATCAGATGCGGACTATCTGAAACCACAGTGGTTATATAAAAGAATAAAGGTAAAACACTCTAACTGTTGAAGTGGTGGCATAAAAAGTGTTCCAAACTAGGTTATCCCAAATCCAAAGTATCAACTGAGGAAATATCAAACTTCTAGCATTAAACTGATATGGTGATCGATGTATTTGTGATCAGAGCGTCTGTGTCCAGCTCGACGTGTCTATTTCAACTTAACGTCTTGCAAAATATAATTTAAAAAAATCAAGTAGAAGGCCAGAGGAGTGTAAAGAGAGGAAGAAGGCAGATAGAAAAAGCCATAAGTTGTACTAAGAAGATATTTAGTGACAAACAAAACTGATTTTCAAAAAACTGAAATTAATATTCCCTTGGGATCTGAGTGGGACATAGAGCTTCAGCGATACATCTCCACTTTGTTCTATTTTCTTCTGTCCTTTTCGGCTGGGTCCTCGATTGATCATAATCTCTCATCTCCTCCAACTCGCACGATCTTCAGGTCACCCTCGCATTAATGGCCCACTCGTCGTTTCCCACTGGGATTCCACTTGAGCGATAGCGTCATTTGACGGCCTCATCAACGTATGTCCGATTCATCTCCATTTTCCCCTACATATTTGTTGAGCAATCGGTTCTTGATTGGTTGGTTTGCTCCCAGCCAGAGTTTCTTGTTACTGATTCTTTCTGACCATTCGTTCTTCAATATGAAGCGAAGGCAAAACTGAAATAAGTTAGTCAAATCGGAATCAAGAAAATAAAGAATCATGCAATCAAATCGGAAAACATTAAGATACGATTAGCAAGGTAGCGAGCGACAGACCAATTACACTCTTCCTTTATGCATAAGTTCTTTTCTATTTCTGTACATTTAATACTTCTTCAGCCCCCCCCCCTCTTCTCGTCTTCCTCTTTTTACACCCCCTGAGCCGTTTATCTGGTTGTTTCCCACAAAATTAGGTGAGACTATTTATTTGTAAAATCTCAGTGAAATTGAAATGATTAATTCCAATGTTTTGTTCGGTAATCTGGTCCGAGATTTTACAAATATAATTTTTTTTTTTACAAATGTCTACTTCTCATCACTCGGCACCCAATTATTTTTATTATTATTATTATTATTTTTTGATTACAGCTTGATTCCACACTGTATTTTTGGTACAAGTATGGAATTTTCAGCATGGATATCGGTAGCCCAAATTTTGCAGGCTGACCATAGATATCAGGTGTGCGTCGGCAGGGGATCGAACCTCGGACCATGTGTATGGTCGGCGTGGGTCCTAACCACTGTGCCACCGACGCACGATTTTGGTCAAATCTTGATCTCAGTTCATATGAATGAGACTATTTATTGTTGGCTTTATTTTGTCATGGAAATTTTGACTTCTTGATAAAATGTAAATGCGTTTGTGGAGAGGAGATTTCGAAGTATCTGTACTGTATACTTATTTAAGTTTAGTGTTAGATTTTAATGACCATGCCGAAAGTTTGAATAACTGAATATTTATATGGTAAATTTTTACAATATATGCTATCCCTTTTAATCCTCAATCGTGACAAATACATCATGCTGTTAATTATTGAAATTTAGAAAACTTCAATTCCTCATCTTCTCAGAGTACATCTTTGTATCTCAGGATAAGGTTGGAAGTATTTTTCAAATGTCATACTGATACAGAATTCGTTGGTATGCTAAAGTAGAGAGAAGTTACAGCACCGGGTGACGCGACTTCGAATCTCAGAAGGGACATAAGTTCCTTCGAGGTTGCAGTTACGCCTTGCTGACTGGTGAGTACCAACTAGCACGAAACCTAAGTCCAAGACTTCCTGCCGATTGCTTCCAATCATCCAATACCAACAATTCACAGCGCACCGTGATGCTTTTGCACTTCTTTTTACTTTCTTCTTTTGCTTTGTGTGTTGCATGGAGTGTGGCAACTCGAACTGCTGTACATAGGTGCAAAGTTTTACGTTGAAACCAGTCAGTCAGCACCGTGATGTCGGGCCACCTAGCACGGTGGCCACCTGACTGATAGAATTCAGTCTGCACCAAAGATGGAAGTAGATACATTCCACTAGATACCGACTAGTGTCCAGTCAAGTATTTCATGTCGGAAGCAATGACATCTTTACTGAATAATTCTATTTAATTTGTCCAATCCTAAGTAATTCAAACTTATCCTAACACAATTTGTACAGCTACATTTTTGCAACGTACTAGCTAGCGGAAATAATCGCTAAAGTATACCGAAAAGTAATTATTAGCTTAAAGACTTGGTTTTATGTTAGTGTACCATGGGTTCGAGTCCCGCCCGACCTCATGCGATAAGTGTGTAACCCTTCGCCTGAAGGACAGAGTCCAGTCATGCTTATTATTCATTTATTAAACTTGATCAACTTCCTGGCAAAATAACATTCAGTTTGCATAATAAGGTTCTAAGTTCAAGTAATTTGGTTGATGTTTCAAATCAAAATAAAAGTGTCCGTTGTTTTTTGTAGCATCATATTAGGAAATTGAAGTACACAGGCTTAAATCTAAGTCATAATCCATCTTCTTATTAAAGCTCACATGTAGGTAGAGGTGCGATATGATAAAAATGTAACACGTGATAAGATTTTGCATAAGTTAAAACTAATTTCACATTTGTATCGCCTTTATGTACTGTTATTTAGTACATTTCATTGTTATGATTTACACAATTGTTTTTTTTAAAATTTTTTTTTACTAAACAATAGCGTAATTCAAGTGTCCAAGGTTACATTATTTAAAGTGTGTAACACAAATATTCAAGGTTTCGATTTCTATCATTGAAATTTATCACGTGGTTTTTATATCACTCAATGATGGATAATGGTAATACCAATGATGATAATTCTACTACATCAACGAGCAATACATCATCAGAAGGTAAAAATCAATCGGATACTCATACAATTAAACGTTTGCCGAAGGAAGTAGTAAATCGTATTGCTGCTGGTGAAGTTATTCAACGTCCTGTTAATGCAATCAAAGAGTTGCTTGAAAATAGTATAGATGCTGGTAGTACAATGATTAAGGTAAGCTTTTCATATTCGCATAATGCTTAAATTTTCATTTTTAGATTTTTATCTATTTTTTTGTATTTTTATTGTTTCCTTGGGTTCCCAGTGGAACATAGGGCTTCAGCTGCACGTCTCCACTTGCCACTTCTGTCTTCTGCTGTACTTTTCACATGCATCCGTGTTACTCCATATTGTTTCAACTCCTCTTCACACGATCTCCCCCATGTCACCCACTCGCCGCTTCCTTTTCGGGTTCCACTTGAGAAATTTGCCTGACGCGCGCGCGATGTCACCCAGCGGTGGCCTCCTCAGCGAGTGTCCAATCCATCTCCACTTTCTCCTGCCTAGATTACTAGCTCGCTAGTTTTCTGGCCGGTCCCAAGGCCGGATAAAGAGGGAGGGTTGGGGCGTGGTGCTAGCAACTCCACCCCCAAAACTCAACCAAACTGCTACAGAAACTTCAATGCACCAATATATTAAAAATTCAAAAAATATAAACAGTAACCTTATTTTTAGCTGGAATCAGAGAAGTGAAATGACGCAGGTTGGTGTAAACCTTCGGGAAGCCAGTCAGCCGATGTGTCTTCTTTCGATGAAAGCAAAAATAAGGATGGGTACATGGAATACTTACTTTACTTTACTTCGGCTATCTCCTACGGGAGGATGAGCCGGCTTCATGAACCATGAAGTTTCATGGGAATTGGGTACGAGTGATGTCCCCAGCATCGCTCGGCCTTTGTTTGAGAGTGCAGCTCTAGCCTTTACACAACCAAGTGTGACCTACAAGGCAGTAGGAGTGGAGTAGGGAGTCCACTATCCATTGGCAGCCGGTGACCGGAGTCCGGTTCATTCGCCTTTTCGAATGGGGCCAGTCATCCAGGGCATCCAATAAGCCCTTTGTCCATACGTCTGCCGGTGAGCCCCGGTGAGCTTCATACGCCAGTCGTTGGAGGTTTGGAATCAGGGTTTAGCCATCTCCCCTAGACTGTCATCCAATGGACAGTCAACCCGGTGAAGAGCGCCGGGCATCCGCTTTTGCCCTCTCACTTTGGTGAAAAACACCTCCGCCACGTGAAGGCAGTGAGTAGGACTTCCTCAGGAGAGGCTATGTAAGACGCCCGGTCATATGGGAGCATTTCAAGAGGTGTGCGGAGGGGTGGCCAACCCGCAGCGCAAGGCACCCACCCCCGACCATCCTGAGGCTTTGGAGGTACATGGAATGTTCGTACAATGTACGAAGCTAGAAAGGCTGCCCAGGTAGCCGCTGAAATGAGAAGGTACAGAATAGAAGTGTTGGGAATCTGCGAGAGCAGATGGAACGGATGTGGAAGGTGCCAACTAGAGAGATTTTTATCTACTTAGTATTATTTCATCATTTACTATACATGGTCTTATTAGATAGTTGGAAGCAATCGACAAGAAGCCTTGAATCCTAGGTTTCATGCTTGTTGGGGTTACTCGTCAGCAAAGGGTATCTGAGATTCATACCCTGGTCACTGTGTTGCAGTCAGAGAACTTACCACTGAGCTATTCGGGCTTGTGACTGACCTCCTTTAGAATTGCATTGGATACTTTGATTGGGCACTAGATAGTAACCAGTGTCACGCTTCTGGTTCTGTGTTTGTTGCAGACTGAATTTTATTTATTTATTATTTTTTTATTTTTGATTACAGCTTGATTCCATACTGTATTTTTGGTACAAGTATGGGATTTTCAGCATGGATATCGGTAGCCCAAATTTTTCAGGCCGACCATAGATATCAGGTGTGCGTCGGTGTGGGCTCGAACCTCGAACCATGTGCATAGTCGGCGAGAGTCCTAACCACTATGCCACCGACGCACAGTGGTTCAAGTTTGACTGTAGCACTGGGTGACATGGGTTCTAATTTCATAAAGGACATGCATTCCTTCAGAATCGCATATAAACCTTACTGATAAGTACCACCAAAAATTATGAGACCTAGGTCTTAGGCTTCTTGTCGTTCACCACCAACCATCTAATAACAACAACTCAGAGTGCACCGTAGTTGACAGCAGACACCAGAAAGAGTATTAGACGTTAATTACTGCTTGCTACCATTTGCACGGTCATATGATATACAGCTTTTTTGATAGAATAATAAACTGTGAAGTAGTTTTTAAGTGTTAGAGTTGAGATTTACCACTGTTCAGCATTTTGTACTCTTCACAAGATTTCTTCTTAGGACTGAAAAAGACTGAGTCGCTAGTTAATCACTAACACCCGATCATGAATGTTTTTGACCAACTAAGTGGTGAAACTCAATGTAACTCTGCACATATATGGGTCAGCTTAGCTTGCCAAACTTCGATAAAGTACACAAGAAGATAACATGCGTATATCAATTATTACAGTAGACAGAGATGTGATG